TCACCAGTGGCGAGAAGGGCAGGCGTACGACGGTTTTTTTTTTTTTTTTTTTTTTTTTTGAGGAATGGGGTGGCTGCTTCAGGGGTGGCAGGCGTAGAAGGGGTGGCTGCTCCAGGGGCGGCTGCTGCAGGGGCGGCTGCTGCAGTGGCGGCTGCTCCAGGGGCGGCTGCTACAGTGGCGGCTGCTCCAGGGGCGGCTCGGCTGCTGGGCGACTCGGCTGCTCCAGGGGCGGGTGCTGCAGGGGCGGGTGCTCCAGGGGTGGCTGCTGCAGGGGTGGCTGCTCCAGGGGCGGCTGCTGCAGGGGCGGCTGCTGCAGGGGTGGCTGCTGCAGGGGCGGCTGTTGCAGGGGCGGCTGGTGCAGTGGCGGCTGCGACAGGGGCGGCTGCTGCAGTGGCGGCTGCTCCAAGGGCGGCTGCTGCAGTGGCGGCTGCTCCAGGGGCGGCTGCTGCAGTGGCGGCTGCTCCAGGGGCGGCTCGGCTACTGGGCGACTCGGCTGCTGGGCGGCTCGGCGGCTCGGCTGCTGGGCGGCTCGGCGGCTCGGCTGCTCGCTAGGGGCGGCGACGGGGCCGAGTAGGGGCGGCGACGGGGCCGCTAGGGGCGGCGACTGGGCCGCGTAGGGAGGGGAGCGGCGACGGGGCCGCTAGGGGCGGCGACGGGGCCGCGTAGGGGCGGCGACGAGGCCGCGTAGGGGCGGCGACGGGGCCGCTAGGGGCGGCGACGGGGCCGCGTAGGGGCGGCGACAGGGCCGCGTAGGGGCGGCGACGGGGCCACGTAGGGAGAGAGGCGGCGACGGGGCCGCTAGGGGCGGCGACGGGACCGCTAGGGGCGGCGACGGGGCCGCGTAGGGGCGGCGACGGGGCCGCGTAGGGAGGTGAGCGGCGACGGGGCCGCTAGGGGCGGCGACGGGGCCGCGTAGGGGCGGCGACGGGGCCGCTAGGGGCGGCGACGGGGCCGCGTAGGGGCGGCGACGGGGCCGCGTTGGGAGAGAGGCGGCGACGGGGCCGCTAGGGGCGGCGACGGGGCCGCTAGGGGCGGCGACGGGGCCGCGTAGGGGCGGCGACGGGGCCGCGTAGGGGCAGCGACGGGGCCGCGTAGGGGCGGCGACGGGGCCGCTAAGGGTGGCGCGAGGGGCCGTGAGAGGGGCCTCTAAGAGAGCTCGACAGAAGGGCGGCCCACAAGGCGCACCTCGGGCAGGAGCGACTGGCGCTCCGGTCAGAAAAAAAAGTTTCAGTGGTGGGCCCAAGGAAGCGTTCCCACTAGGGAACCTGCTCTATACCATGTGAAGAAATGAGGAATGAATGAACTACCACAAGGTTGGGTACAAGTAGGAAACCCTAGGAAACTGTACCCCATAGTGTCTACCCCACTATAGCCTAGACAAGCTATATGATATGAGTTTGACAATATATATATGTGTACTCATGCATGTGAACTGGCCTTGTGGCCTTGAACTTGTGCTCAGAATGTGTGGTGACGTTGTGATCCACCCTGAGCTTGCTTTGCCTTGCTTTACTTGACTGGTCTTGTGACCCCTTGTTCTCCCCCACTTTGCCTATGGGGGTGTGTCAAACTTATATGATCTAGCCTGTGTAGGCTGTAGCGGGTTAGATACTAAGGGGTACACAATTCTAGGGTTTCATATTTGTATCACTTTCATTCCTTAGTCATTTCATTCTCGTTCTAAGTTTCTCACTCTCCTGCGAGGAGGTGCTTCTCGAATTCGTCGAAAGTGAGAGTGGGGGGGTCTAGCGCGAGGAAGTGGTCCCTGACTGAGCTAAGAGTGTCAGGGAGGCGGGTGACGAGTGAACGAGGAAAGGTCGGGGAACAGGTAGGGTAGCATGAGCCGACCTATGGCTGCAGTGGTCGGGGAGGAGTAGCGCGCAACTACAGCGTCGTACAGCGTCTTAGCAATTTCTGCTGGCTGAAATGCGCGCGCTCAGGAATCGGCAGATGTTTCCTAATAGCTAGGCGTGCAGCAGCATCGCGAGTCTGCCACTGCGAGCGTTCGAGAGCAGGAGCATCGGCAGGAGGAGCAACGGCAGTGCCAGACACGTAATCGAACAGTGAAACGCCCTCTTTGGCATCGGTCAGAAGGAATAGTTGGAGATCATCTAACCACACAGCGAACTCTATGGGGCGACCGTCAGGCTCGAACGCGAGAACGTTAGGCGTCGTCATAATGGCAGCAGGCAAAGGCAGGAGGCAGCAAGCAGCAGACAAGAGGCAGCAGGCACCAGGCCACAAGCAAAGACAGAGGCAGCAGGCAGCAGGCAGGAAACAGCAGGCAGCAGGCAGCAGACAGGAGCGGCCGCACGCAAGCTCCTAAAGCAGCGCGCTAAGCAGCAGCGAGCCGCGCAGGCGGCCGACGCGACGCGCGGCGCAGCGGCGGGCCGCGCTGGCGACAGACGCGGCGCGCGGGGCGACGGCGGGCTGCACGCGACGGCGGGCTTCACGCGGCGGCGGGCTGCGCGGGCTCTACGCGAGCTGCTCGGGTGACGCGGGCCGGCGCGCGGCGCTGCAGCAGTGGTGCGCGCTAAAAACAGCGACGCGCGCGTTAGCAGTCGAGGCGCGCGAGAAAAAAAAAAAAAAATGTGACGCGCGCTGCAGCCGAGGGGCGCGCGGGCAGTAGGCAAGGCAGGCAGGCAGTAGTTAGGGTAACACAGTTAGGTGGGCCCGATTCTTAGGTCCTAGAGACCTCCTGCTCTAGTTACCATGTCAAGAACTAAGGCAAGAATGATGAGATTAGGTCAAGGTTGGGGTACGAGACTAGAGTGTCGAGAAAGTTTCTGTACCCACTAAGGCTAGCCCCAATATAGCCTAGATAATGATATGCATATGTTTTGACAACACCTTCAGCCTTGGCTCTGGTTCATTTTCTTGGCGTTCTACACGCTCGTCTTCAGTTCTCAGCTCCAGTTGTGAGGCTGAGATCTACACCACAGCCATGGCTGCACAGGAGTTACGCTGGCTCACCTACCTGCTGACCGACTTGGGAGAGCGGCCTCGTTCTCCTCTAGTGCTGTACGTCGACAACAAGGCCGCCATTGCCTTGTGTCAGGAGCACAGACTGGAGCACAGAACGAAGAACATCGCTCTGCGTTACTTCTTGGCTCGAGAGTTGCAGCAGCGTGGTCAGCTTCGTCTTGCTCACGTGGCCACTCGGGCCAACACTGCTGATATATTCACCAAGGCACTTCCGTTTGGTGATCATTAGCGTTTCTGCACTTTGTTAGGCCTTGTGCCCACTTTTTCTCACTTTCTGTAGACTTTGCTTGTACTGTGATCTATATATATACCTGCATGCTTGCTCTGCTAGGTAGAGATCACTGTACTGTTGTTGTTGCATATATACCTCTGCATGTGAACTGGCCTTGTGGCCCTTTGCTTGTGCTCAGTGTCTGTGGTGACGTTGTGATCCACCCTGAGCTTGCTTTGCTTCTCCTGACTGGTCTTGTGACCCCTTGCTCTCCCCCACTTTGCCTATGGGGGTGTGTCAAATTGTTTGCCTATGTCATAATAAAATGTAGGCTTTAGTGGGGTAGCTAATGTAGGGTACAAGTTTTTGTTACTTGTACCCAACTTTCTCGGGGGTGCACACCATCATTTCCCTTTACTATCGACACCTGCTTGCGGTGACCGAATCCTTCGACTGAGATACCTCAACGAGGTATTTCTAGGCTTCGAGGGCTGGAGCGGCGCTCTCTTTCTAGGAGCGAATGCTGAGTTGCTGAGTTGTTCATATTACGTAGCAGTACACTGTACGCCATGAGGGACTCGCTGTAGTACCGAGCCCTGGCGTTGTCGGTGTCTTCCACCGGTTTTGCGTAGGAGCCGTCGAAGTAATGGTAGATTTTCGCAGTTTGTGGGAGGAGCTCAAGCTCGAAACTCCAAGTGTAAAAGTCCTTGCCATCAAACCCAGCAGTAGTCTTGATTTTTGGAACGCTGAGGAAGCGTGCTTGCGCAGAGTTAATAACTTGATCACTTGGACGGGGGCAGTTGTTGTTGATTTGTCTGTCTCAAGGGAGAAGGTGTGCGCGGCGGTATCACGGCTTTTCACAGCCGGTTGTCTAGGTTGAGCTGGTTGGGAAGAGGTTCCCGCATCGCCTTTGCGCAGTTCTTGGAGGTCTTTCTGCATAGTTGAGAGTCGCGAAAATAACTGCTCGAGTGCGGCAGTGCTGATCGTGGTTATCGCCTCATTTGTCGCAGCCGGTTTGGTTTGTCCTTCGGCCGTCGGATTTGCTTGGCCTCCGGATCCTTCGACCATCTTGGTCTTGGAGCGTGTGCCGCTCTTCAGATCTTGGTTCGGTGAATTTTACGGAAGTGAAGTTGCGCCCTGAGTAGCTCTCATACCATGTTACAATCCCAAGTGGGACTTAGCGAAGGATCGCTCAGGGTTGATCGCAAGGTAGTGTTGGAGCGGAAGTAGTGACCTCAGGTTAGAGTGAACGTAAATGACTGAGATTGATAATAGCATGCATATATCTGGTTTATATAGGAAATACAAAGGAATACGAAACGACCTAGACTAGCCATGTACTCTAAGGGGTACATTGTCTTATTATAGCGAAGTTCAAACCGTGCGGGGCGGGAACCCGTTTCAAACCTGTTCCCGCTCTTTTCACTTCAAATGTTTCTGCCTGCATCGGTTTTGATCAAACGGTTGCTAGTGTCGCTTCAGACTCTTCTTACTCCTCGACTTCGTACTCGGTAGAGTCGGCTCCTGCAGCAAACAGGAATGCCTTCTCATACAGTTTCATATCGTAACAGCAAAGAACTTGTTCTTTGTAAAATGCACTCCTTCCATCCCAAATCTTTCATTTTATATGTCTTATTCATAAGGTATGACGATCTGTTTGTATCCAGTATATTATACTACCCGTATATTCGCTTTGCAAAGAAAACGACCACTCTCAATCGGCACAAATAAATGCTCTCATTCGCATATCCCCACAACCCAAAGCGTCCCGAACACGCACCCATCACACGAGGCGATCCCTGTAATGGTGGTCGGGCGAGGCCACACGAGGCGATCCGCTCCCCTCGCCGTCGCCGCCGCCGCCGCCGCCGCTGTGATGGGAGCTGCTGCTGCCTTGTGGGCTCTGATCCGATCCAAGCCGTCGGATAACGAGAGGCGTCGCCACCCGACGGCTTCAGAAGAAGGCGATGATGTGGACGACGGGGCTTATATCGAGGCGTGGACAATAGCGGGTTTGCATAACCCGTCGAACTTATGCTACTTAAATGCGATTCTACAGGTACATGCAAGGCACCGCACACACGGTAACACGCGTTTGGCGCGTGGGAAATCCGTGAGGTGGCGCAGTAGAGGGAGGGCGCGTTAGGCGCGGCGTGGGCCCGGCACGCAGCACGTGCGGCCATGGCTCTGAGTGCTGTGCTGCCTTGCGCACACGCCTGCCTCAACATCGCCACACTCCTTTTCGGCCTTTGTTTCCGTCTTCCCGCCAATCCCATACCTTCCTTTATGCATGTGTGTGTGTGTGTGTGCGTGTGTGTGTGTGTGCGTGTGTGTGTGCGTGTGTGTGTGTGTATGTGTGTGTGTGTGTGTGTGCGTGTGTGTGTGCGTGTGTGCGTGTGTGCGTGTGTGTGTGTGTGCGTGTGTGTGTGTGTGCGTGTGTGTGTGTGGCGCACATGCATGCGTTCGTGTTGCATGTGCATGTGTTGCATGTGCATGTGTGCATGCGTGCATGTGTGCATGTGCATGTGTTGCATGTGCATGTGTGCATGCGTGCATGTGTGCATGTGCATGTGTGCATGTGTGCATGCGTGAGCATGCACCAGTCACTAGCCAGCAGTTCATCAGTGCGTGCCGTCCTGCACGCTGCTGTCTCGCTATCATCGCGCCACCTCCCCACCACGGCCACGCCCATGGACCTGCCTCTCACCACCGCTCTTCATTCGCTGCTCCAAGGTAGCCTTTCCTCTCCGCTCCTCTCCTCTACTCACCTCTCCTCACCCTTCCTCTCCTCACCTCTCCTCTCATCACCGCGCGTCGCCTCGCCATGCCATGGATTGTATTGCTTCATCCAAATTTGGCCTGCCTTAGCTGCGCCTTGTGCGCCTCTCCTGTGCCATCACTCCCATCGCACGTCTTCAACTCTCTCCCTCTCACAGCGCTCTCAGAGCCAATCACAGGGCGCCAGGTGGCGTGCTCTCGTGCGTTTCTGCGTGCGCTCGCGCCCCACGACTCGCGCTTCAACTTCCACCACCAGCAGGTGTGTCCCTCCCCCGCTCACCTTCTCTCTCGCCCTCCCACCTCCCGTGCTTGCATACCTGCATGTGCGTGCGTGCGTCCGTCCCTGCGTGCATGCGCGCCCGGTGCAGTACAAGTCTTTTGACATCCGCGTCCCTCCCCCCATGCCACTGCTTCAAGCAATCTTTCTCCCCCTCCTCCTGCTCGGCTCCCTACTTCCATCTTCCCTGCTTCCCATTCCCCCCACTCCCCTCTCCCCTCTGACCTCCCCCACTTCCGCCTCCCAAGATCCCATCCCATCTGACCTTCCGTCCCCCCTCCCCCCCCCCCACGTTAGGACTGCATGGAGGCGCTGGCCCTGCTGGCGGCCGCCCTGCTGCGCGACCTCGCCCCTCTGCACCGCCACCTGCGCCTCTCCTCCTCGCCCCTCCCTGGCCTCTGCGCCCTGGTGGGGGATCAGCCCGCTGCTGCTGGGGGGAAGCGCGAGGGCGGTGAGAGGCGCTGGCGCGTGCATGGCGTGTGGAAGGGGGTGGGGGGAGAGGCGTGGAGCAGTGGAGGAGAGAGACAAGGGGGAGGAGAGGGCGAAGAGGGAGGAGAGGGGCAAGGGGGAAGTGTGGGGAGAGGGCGATGTGGGGTGGGGGATGCATGCAGGCATGGTGGCACATGCAAGGCGGGATCAGAGCGCGGTGTGCAGCAGGCAGATACAGCAGGGACGAAGGGTGTGATGGTAGGCATGGGGCACGGCAGGCAACACTGTCGCAGCAGCTCGCCTGGCAGCGCAGCAGTGCAGCAGGGCGCAGCAGTGCAGCAGGGCGCAGCAGTGCAGCAGGGTGCAGCAGTGCAGCAGGGCGCAGCAGTGCAGCAGGGTGCAGCAGTGCAGCAGGGCGCAGCAGTGCAGCAGGGTGCAGCAGTGCAGCAGGGTGCAGCAGTGCAGCAGGGCGCAGCAGTGCAGCAGGATGCAGCAGTGCAGCAGGGCGCAGCAGTGCAGCAGGGTGCAGCAGTGCAGCAGGGCGCAGCAGATTGCAGCAGCAGGGGAGAAGCAGCGAGCGGGCAGGGGGGGATGGAGGAGCAGGGATTGAGGCTGACGGATGGGCAGCAGGGGGAAGGGGGTGAGTGCAGCTGCGTCCAGGAGTCAGATGCGCGGAGGGAGCACGACAGCACGCCGTCAGCGTGCTCTCAGCAGCACCACAGCACCACGCATCCTCCCTCGCTTGCGCCCGCCTCCTCTCATGCGTGCACTCAGCAGCCCCCCTCGCCCGTGGCTGCGACTGCACAGGCGTGTGACACGCTGCTGCAGTGGCCGCTCTCAGGCACGACCGTCAGCCTCCTCGCATGCCTTGCATGTGGTCACCAGGTGAGCGCATGGCTGTATGGTAGGCATGCACCTGACAGGTTGTATTGGTGCCTGGCATGCATGAACTGCCATGCGCTCTACCTGCTTTGTTCGCATTGCACACCAGTACTCGTGGTTTCTATTCCTCTTTCCTCTTTCCTCTTTCCTCTTTCCTGCACTGCACCCCTGCGTTTCATGGCACGCCCCAACGACTCTCCCAACCCGCCCTATGCCCCATGCGCAGTTCGCCAGCAGCGTGCAGCCGTGCACCGACATCTCGCTCCCTCTCCCACCCTCCTCCTTGGTATGCTTGCTCCTCCTCTCCCTCCCTGCTGCGTCTTTTCTTCTCTGTTGACTTCACTCTCTTATTCGTGTGCACCACTTCGCCTCGTTGCCCACTCTTGCTCCGATCCATACCACGACGGGGTCAAGAAAATGCCACCTCCTTCCTCCCTCCTTCCCTTTGTCCCTCCCTCCCTCCCACCCTCCCGCCCTCCCTCCCTCCCACCCTCCCGCGCGCCCGCCCCTCACAGCACGGCTTGTCGCTCACCTCCTTGCTGCGCAGCTACACGGCACCAGAGCAGGTGTCGGACGTCACATGCCCCAGGTGCTGCCACGTGGCAGCAGCTGGGATGGTGAGATCTGCCATGGCACTGCAGGCGCAGCAGGAGAATGAGCAACAGAGGCATGAGGAAACACGCCCTGATACTGCCGATGCTGATGCTGGCACACGTGCCAATGCAGAGATGGGTATGCATCCGGAGGGGCATGGACAAGCAGCAAGGGACGCACATGGCAATGCGCATGCACAGGGGACTGGAGCACCAGTTGCCTCTTTGCTGCTGTGCGAAGCTGGTGTGGCACCGGCAAGCAGCGCTGTGGATGTGGCATCTGCAGCAGTGGGGGAGGGGAGACCAGTTGAGCTCAGGGATGGGGGGAACGGAGAGTCCTATGAGCACACGAGCAGGCGACAAGAGGAGATGAAGGTGCGCTCAGGAGTTGTGCAGTGCGCTTTCAGACGCTTTCCGACGCTTTTTAACTGTTCCGCTTTCAGTTTGCATCTAATTCTTCCCTTTTGCACTCTCTATCCTTCCCACCCACCCCCGTCCCCCTCTCTCCTTGCCCCCTCTCACCTTTCCCCTCATGGCTGCTCTCACCTTGCCCCCCTCACCTCTGCACTGACCCCCTCCTCTCCTACCAGGCGCTGCTGGCTGTCCTGCAGGCATGCACGGCCGCTGACAGCAGTGCCTGTCGCTGCCCCGCCCGTGTGAGAGTGCTGCTTCCCGCCCGCCCGTGGCCGTGTGTGAGGCGCCCTGCTCTCAAGCGCCTGCTGCTCGCACGCCTGCCACAGGTGACTGTGCTGCACCCTGTCGCCACTCGTGGCTTGCCAGACACATGCACCCATGCAGGCCATGGGCATGGGCATGGGCATGGGCACGGGCATGGGCACGGGTATGGGTATGGGCATGGGTATGGGCACGGGTATGGGTATGGGCATGGGTATGGGCATGGGCATGGGTATGGGCATGGGTATGGGCATGGGCATGGGTATGGGCATGGTTATGGTTATGGGCATGGGCATGGGCATGGGCATGGGTTTGGGTATGGGTAATGGTATGGGGTAAGGGTATGGGCTATGGGTATAGGTATGGGTATGGGTATGGGTATGGGTATGGGTTGGTATGGGTATGGGTATGGGTATGGGTATGGGTATGGGTATGGGTATGGATATGGGTATGGGTATGGGTATGGGTATGGGTATGGATATGGGTATGGGTATGGGTATGGGTATGGGTTGGTATGGGTATGGGTTTGGGTATGGGTATGGGTATGGATATGGGTAAGGGTTGGGTATTTGTATGGGCATGGGCATGGGTAGGTAAGAAGGCACCTACATGCTTGTCGTTGTGCACCTCTCTGTTCCGCTTCCACACTGCCTCGCCTACCACACGTATTCAACCACCACGGTCCACATTCGCCCCATGCCAGCCTGCCTTCTCCCCTGCTCTCCCTTATGCGCATTCGGAATCCCTGTTGGTTTCGTATGTCTCATCTCTCATGGCACGAGCACGGCACTTCCCAGGTGGCGTGCATTCAGGTGCAGCGAGTGGCGTTCTCCCCCTGGGGCGCGCTGCACAAGGCGCATGTGAGTGAACTTCCATGCTCCACTGCCTGCCAAGTCCAACCAGAGCAGTGATTTCTGTATTGCACACATGCTGCTACGTACTCTGCCTTCTTGCTCTTTTGTTTCCATATGTGCGCGCGCATATGTATGCATACCGTTTGTGGGTGTGCACGAGAGCATTCGTGCATGTGTGTCTCCGGGTGGCTATGCCAATGCCTGATTTAAGTATTTTATTGAAGTATTTAAGCATACTCATGCACATATGCTCCCATCCACTCTCCCCACCCCCCTCCCTTGCCATCACAGGATCACATCTCCTTCCCCCTTCTTCTCGACCTCTCGCCATTCTCTCTACTAGCATACACCTCTCGGCCCGCGTCCCTGCTCCACCCGCTGTCCACCTCCAAGCATTCCCTTGCTCCGGCAGCCCCACCCAGTCTACCCCTTGCCCATTCTGCCTCTCCTAACCCCTCCCTCCCCTTCATTTTCCAACCATCCGTGCTCTCCCATATCCTAACAACGCTAGCCCTTTCCCCACTACCTTTGTCCCCTCCTCACCGCTCTCCCACCACTGCCAAGCGTCCCGCGCCCCACCGCTGCACTTCCCCTTCCTCTGGGCCGCCTCCCCTCCTCCATGTCGCCGTGCCTCTCACTCCACTGCAACCCCTCCTGCTCGGCCTGCTGCTGCTGTAATGAACACCACGATTGCAGAGGGTGGAATGGCAAGCCCAACAGGGTGCGCTTCAGCTGCCTCTGCTGCTACCACCACATGTGGGGCGCCAGTCGCAGCTGCTGCTGGTGCAGGGAGCGAGGGCGGTGAGCAGGGCAGCAGTGAGCAGAGCGGGAAGGCATGTGCGTTACAGCTACATGTGACTGCTGCCAGTGACCACCCAGTGCATGCACCAGCCCCTCCACATGGCCCAGCCCTTTCCAACACCATAGGTGCCTCATGCGCCCCAGTTCCCTCTCATGGCCTTGCTCCCCCGGAGGCTGTGCCAGGGCCCTGTGACAGCCTCACACACCAGCACTGCAGTGACGGCGAGCACAGAGGCGCTAGCACAACAAGCATCGGCAGCAGCAATAGCAATAGCAGCAATTGCAGCAGCAGTAGCAATAGCAATAGTAATAGCAACAGCAGCAGCCACAGCAGCAGCAGCAGTAAAAGCAGCATGAAAAGGAGCAGCAATAGCAACAGCAGCAGCAATAATGAGATGCAGGTTTCTGAAATTGTTGGAGAAACCGAGAAGGCAACACGGGGAAACTCAGGCAGCGATCAAGATACCACTAGAACTTGTGCTCGTCACAGCACTGCACACCCTCCCTTAGCGGCCGCCGCACCACTCCCATCATCCCACTTCTCACCCTTCCCACGCGCGTGCTCGCCCTCGCACCTGTCAGCACGGGCATCAAGTGCGGCGGTGGCAGCGAGTGGCAGTGGTGGGTGCTGGTACCGCCTGGTCGCCGTGGTGGTGCACCATGGGGGGCCTCAGAGCGGCCACTACTCTGCGTTCCGCTGCGTGTGCAGGGGCGAGGCTAAGAACACAGGCGGGGGAGGCGACAAAGGTGGTGAAGGCGACAAAGGTGGTAGAGGCGGGAGAAGCGAGAGAGGAGAGGTGGCAGGTGTGGAGCAAGCAGGGGACAGTCGGTGGTTCAGTGTCGGATGAGCATGTGAGTGAGGTGAGGGAGGAGCAGGTGCTGGGTGCTGAGGCCAGCATTCTCTTGTACGAGGCCATGCATGTGGCTCGGTAGGCATGGCGCCAGGAAAGGCAATTCCTGGGGGTAGATTTGGACCCTGTACGCTCAATTATTATCAGCCTTACTAACCAGCATCGTGTCCATCACCCAAGGCAAAGGCACATTATGCCAACAAGAAAACTGAACCGCCTGTTGAAATGATGAGTAGGAGAGACTATATATGCACAACAAGCATTTTTTTTTCTTGAACCCTATTTAAATCGTTCTGTAAGCCACACAGGTGATGTTCGATCCGAGATTGATTCACCCCTCCCTAATTTGCACTGGACTCTCTACTCCCCTCCCGCTGGTCACAAGCTCTCTATCGTCCTTGCACGTCGTAACACTTCTTCACAGTTGTCACAAGTCTTCTGTCAAAATTGTGCTGTTGCCCGTCTTGAAAATGAGGCATCGTCGGCTCTGCAAATACAAGATGAGATGCCAGATGTGTATTGAACAAGATGAACCGCTGCCATCACTCAAGCTCACCTGTGGAAACCCTTTTCGACTGTCGCCATTGTTTATCCAACCACTCTTGCTCAGGTAGAAGTTGCTGACACGAAGTATCACGCATTTCCCCGTGAAATCCTGTACAGCAATGTCATGTCAGAACATAGTCATCATTCGTTTCTCTACCACAACATTCGCACCTGCATGACCTCTGACGGGATTGGATGAGCTCCAACTACATCCGCTTTATTCCAGTCGTCAATCTCGCTCATGAAAAAGAATGTCGTCCCGCACGATTCCTGATGCACAATATGTTAGAACCTTCCAAGGAACAAATGCGAGGTACGAGAATGAGTAACACGTACTGTGTCATTAAAAAAATCGCAGTGGTTCGAAGATGCTGTAACGAGCCTCTCGCCGTTTCTGTTGGAATTGGTAAACTCAGTCAGCCAGTGTTGGAAGTCCTTCGGAAACACCACAGAGCCGTTACCTGTGAAATATCTTAGCATGGGACAAAATACTGTTTCCTGAAACTGCTCCGATGTTGAAACTGGGAATAGTACTGAGACTTCCGTTGAAGTAAAAGTCGCATCCCTGAAACGCATTGAGTAGCGTCAATGAAGGTCTTTCATGTCGAAATAAATACCAAATGTAAGAATCATCACATTGAGGGGAAAGCGACGGCATGAAATGCCATCCTCCGCTCCTTGCGCAGAAACAAACAAGACTGCCAAACAAAATGCGAGGTAAGAACAAGTTCTTTCTTTACAGTTGGGAAACGCGATGAGGACAAGAACTCACGTGAGAGAATCAGGGGAAGAAGGAAAGGCTTGATTGCAGCCATATTTGCGTTATGTGAAGAAGATTCCAATGATGAGTCAGAGAATTGGGGCTGAATTTGTACCAACAGCCCCAATCACGCGGACAAGCCTGGAGGTGGGATGGGGAGGCTTCCAATACGGCATTTCTACAAAGGGCTTTGTTACGAGACGAATCCATTGTTAATGACATACGGCAGTTGGCTGATGTCGTATAAAATTGTTGGCCAGTACTGCGGGCATGTAATATATATATATATATCCTCATTATATATATATTGAAACGTACCGTAAATGTAATTATAAAAATTATCAGCTTTAACAGAAACTTAAGGTGAATGAAAATCAGACCCTCACACCGCCACACTCCGGATATACGCGCCCCAAGCAGGGCTCTCGTTATCAGACCAATTTGGTTTGATGGTCTGAGTTTAAGACTTGATTTTTTTTATTCATCTGCTTCCTAAGAATCTGTGTTTGTTCTCATCTGATCAGTAAGATAAGCGTTTTAGGTTCGTATGATTTTTCCAGACGTCTAGAATTCTTAATCTGAATATACAGATATCGAGTTCGGTTTCGTCTGAAACCGACATCTTGACCCACTAGGCCATATGCCCAGTGGACCAGAGGATAGGACCACAGGTACAGCCATTTGCTGCTCTGTAACAGCACGCGCATTCAATACGCGTGTCTTATAGCAGCCTCGCTGTCATGTAACTGCGGCATATGCTGCCAGGAGTTTGTCGTGTGGCTGGCTGTCGGCGCCGACGCCAGCCACAACCACGGCAACGCGTTGTTCCGTTGTGCCACTGCCAGCGCATTTGCATTTCCTAGACGTCACGCAACATTGCATTGTGGTCGTAGTGCCCCCCGCTCCCAACACGCAGCCTTTCGGTTCTGAATGCAGTGCACGGTGATGGGGTTTCATGCAGCTGGGTGAGGCTTGAAAACAAGCCTGTTTCTCCTGCTTGTCCTCAACTCTCACTCAGCCGAGCATGGACCGTATCCCTCCTAGCGTCTGATTTCCCAGCGTTTAGACTATGGCCGTCCCCGCCGGCGGACCATGCGATGCGGAGCCCGTGCTTACGGCGTTAGACTTCCTAACGAGGGGCAAGCAGATCGCTTCTGTTGCCCCACCGATTGCGTCGACCTCTGCTGCGGTCCCTTTGCCCGAAGGCGATGCTCCAATCTCGGTAAATGGCGATCATTCCGTGCCATCAACCGCTACCCCTACTACGCTAGTAACTTCTCGGATGCCAGACAACGGTGCAAATAAAAGCATCCCTGCAGTATCTGTCGCTACTACCTCTCTCAGTGCTAACCCCGTCTTGCCCGACAGATCATTAAAGAAGCGGTATAAGCAGCGGGTTCTCACCGTCGGACGTCCGGGTGGTCCGACTCAGCCAGCACCGTCAGTTCTTCCGCCTCCCGCAGAGCCTGAACCCGCGAATGAAGACTTCGAAGATCCGAAAGGCAAGCAGCTGTCGGTTGAGGAGCTTCAGTTGAAGTGCAAGCAGCAGTGGCAGCGGTATTTTCCTTGGCTTCTCATCTCTGAAAACAAGGTCGGCGGCCCCTGCATGCGCTGCAGCGTCTGCATGGTCTTCGGGGACCCCAACTACAAATACGGGCGCAACGGCGATGGTGGCATCGACATTCAGAAGCAGACGATGCGCAAGCATCACCACAGTCTGAAACATGAGGCCACGGTCTTGAGGAAGGAGGAGCGCGACGACGTGAAGAAAGTGCAGAAGTCCATTGCTGACTTCCACCGGGGGGACGATGATGTCAAGCGTCTTGCTCGCTTGATGGCTATCGTGTTATTCATTTGCAAGTCTGACGCTCCCATTGTGCTATTTGTGGCTTTGGTTCAGTTCATGGCAGAGCAGGGGACTCCGGAAGGAGAACGGGACGTACTACATCGAGTAAGTGTCCCGTTCAAAACTTCTGCTTTGTGTTCCGTGGGTTTACAATACTAACGAGTTTTAACTTCGCGTGTCTCAGGTACGGCTTCGCACAACT